GGACTAAGAAGAGCTACTGCTAGATGGATGTTAAAGATGCAGGAGTCAGTTGTATGGTTTGTGCATTTTCACATCACATGCCCTGTTTTTTTTCTACTTTGCTCCCTCTCCTCTTCCCCAGTAGTGACTGTTGGTAGAATTTTGTTTGCATCACGAAAATGTAAACCATGGAAGAAACACTCACTTGAGAGAAGTATATTGGGTGGTTCAGGGTTACGCAAGCCTAGCAAAGGGAGACTTACACAGAAAGAGGCTGATCTGAATTGTACAGGGAAATGAAGAAAGCTTGTGATTACAGAGGGAGCATCTCAGCTGGGATCTGAAGAGTGTGCTTACAGAAAAAGCAGAAAGTAGTGGTTGTTGAGGGTGAGGGAAATGAGAAGTTGTTGTTCAGTGGTATAAGGCTGCAGTTAAGAAAATGAAAGTCTTAAACATCTGCTGTGCAACATCATGCTTACAGTTCATAATACTGTATTGTATACTATATTGTTAAGATTGTAGATCTCATGTTACGTGTTTTTTACCATAATTTTTAAAGGGGAGGGGAGAAAAAATTCTTTGATATTTTTCTGGAGACTGTAATGTGAGCAGAAATTGAGACAAAGATTCTTTGGAACTGATTTTTCTTTTCCTGCATTGACCCTATCTGAATTCACTCTTAATTTGGTTAAGAGAATTTTTGCAATTACATTAAAATGCTTGGTTATGGAATTGAGTAGGAGTAACCATCAAAGTAATAACTCAGCAGAGCAGTCATTTAACATTTTAGAAAGGCATTAAAATGTTTGAAACATGATTTTTTAAAAAAAATCAAATGAGTCTAGGGCAACACTATCTGGTAGAACCTCCTGCAGTGGCAGATGGAAACGTCTGCACTCTCCTGTACAGTAGCCATAGCCGTGTGTGGCTGTTGAGTACTTGAATTGTGATTAGCATGATTGAAAAACTGCATTTTTAACTTTATTTAATTTTAATTCATTTAAATTTAGTCACGTGTTGCTGAATGAAATAGGAATTCAGTCCTAAGCATTTGAATTTGAAATAAAAGCTGAGGAAAGGTATCACAAGGTATTATAGGAGACCAGAACTTCAGCTTATGGTTTTAAAATGAATCTTTTGGAAATGATGCAATCCTATTTCTTTTGTATTTGATCTTATCAACTTTAAATACATACAGAGATAGAAAGTAGGTGGAGGAAAACTTTCAGTAAAATAAGTTTACAGCAGAATTTATGAGCTGCTTTGATCATCTTTAAAATTTTGCTTTTAATCTTCGTGTGACTACTTACAGTGGCCAACTGAAGACAATAGTGGAGTCCTCCCCAGAAAAGGTGGCTGGTCATTTCAGTAGTGGTGCACCTGAGGAAGGATACATGATGATGAAACTTTAAAATGAAGTTGGTTTTTCCTTCTCTTCAGTGTCTAAACAGCTCTTAAGTTAGGCTGCATCATCTTTTCTGTTATTGCAGTAACTTCCCAGCTGTGTGTGTGTGTTTCTGTGTATGTGTGTGTGTTTTCTGTATGTGTAAAGCCCAGGGGTTACATCACTCCCAGAACTGTATTATTGAAAACAGATCTCATCCATAGATCCACTTAAGAAATTTTACCTCTACTCAGTTTATAATAAAAAGTTTCACACACCTTTTTGGATGCTGTTTTTCACTTTTGGGATTCATAGGTTAAATGGACATTTGCTCAGCTGATGGAAACAAAATTGGTAAAACATTTTGTTAGCATATTGTCAACAAAAACTTTAAAGATATTTATAACCTAAACCCCAGTAAAATCACATCTGGGAATCTTCCTAAAGAAACTAGCCTAAATACCACAAAATATACCCCCCAAATCTCTTTATGCAAACTTATTTATTTAGCCAGCATTATTTATCATAGCGAAAAATGGGCACAACTTTAATGTTCAACAGTAGGGAAATAGCAAAGTAAATTGTAATGGCTAAAGTGATATCTTCCCACATCACTTTGTATATACATCTACTCTGGAGTACATCATAGGCTATTTACAGTGAGTTGTATGCAGTTCTGCCAGTCTGACTCTTTTGTGTCCTCAATGTGCCTAGTACAGTGTAAATGTTCAATAAATGCTTGCTGAATAAATGAACATTGACACAAATGAAATCGAGTTTCAGTTGTGTGTCAGTTGGTTAAAACTAAGAGATGTTACTTTCTTTTAAGTACAGTGATGTGCAATTCATTTTGTAATGAAAATATATTTCAAATTTAAACATCTCTTATTCCAGAAAATATTTTGGTAAGGAACATAACAGTTTCAGCCATGTAAAAGTAAATTCAGTTGATAAATATATCAAGTGATGATTTTTATAAACAAATAATCTTAGTAATAAACCATTCTGCATCTCCAGATTCCCTTTGTGCACTCTTATTTTTCTCTCCCTATATTTTCTATGGATTTTATCTATTTTTATACATATAATTAAAAGATCCCATTTATCCTCATATTGGCATTTTTTTCTTCAAACCTATAATTTGACCTCAGTTTCCCTGCTTTGTTCATTTGAAATGATCAGTTGTAAAGGGGTTGCTTTTCAGATGTGGTGCATTAGGCTATATTTTATAGAGGATATTTAAAATTTTACTTTCTGTAACTTATAGAGAATAGCAAAAGGGAAGAAATCTGTTAATTTTCTTTTAAGTTATTTTTCTGGTTAAATCTAGATTCATGGTTGATGTAGGCAAGAAATACCAATATTAGAAATTTGAAATTACTTATTTTTACCTGGAGTCCTCTAGTGTGCTTGACCAGTAAATTGATATACACTTGTTATCACTTTATAAATATAACCTAGATGCTTAGTCCTTTCTGAAAATTTAGCAGTTTAAAGATTATCATTATTTAATATATTTATTTCCATAAAACCCTGAAAATAAATGGTGATTTTTGTGCCAAGCTCATTTAGCAATCTGATTAGGCTCTCAAAAAAAACGTGGAATGCCTGCCTGCCTACTTTTGCCAGTTTGTTTTGTGACTGCTTCCTAATAAAGTGAGGGATTTAAGCAACTATTTTGTGTTTGTTAGGTAGGCTCTTTGTAAGGAACAAAAAGTCTCAGTTACTTTGTGCAGAGGAAAAAGAAGGATGAGGATAGGAAGGAGGGAGAGAAGGGAGCCATGATTAGGCTTTACTTTAGTGAATCCATAGAAACTCCAGTGGTTTTCCTCTTAGAAGCAGGCATCTGTTGATACTTAGTCTGGTTCTTCATTATTTTCTCTTTGCTTCCACTTCTAAGTGCTATTTTCTCTCCATCAGGTTACTTTACCTTCACACAACTCTAGTACTCTTGTGTTAATTCTAGTATTCCTGAATCTTACTGGTCCAGCTAATTGCCCTCAAATCTACTTTAGCAGAACTTTAGTTTTCATCAGGGCACCCACGAAGTGCATATCATCTTCTATATTTATTGGTCTTGATCAGCGATTTTCAACTGGTGTGCCACAAAAGTTTTTCAAACATGAAATATCTATGAGTCAGGGGCACAGACATCTTTTCTTATAGATTGTCAAATAAAATGACAACAGCCAATGACAGTAGTCATCAGTGTAAATGAATTAAAATTATCCTTTTTTTGGAGGTCAGATCAGCAAAAAAAAGCGCGCATGCGTGTGTGTGTGTGTGTGTGTGTGTGCGCGCACGCGCACCACAGGATTTTAGTAATTAATGTGTACCATTAGATGAAAAAGGTTGAAAATCACTGGTCTAGTCAGCTGTGGCCAAGAGACTAAGTCATATGAAAGAGATACTGCCATCCTCAGGTAAGGAACCACCTGGAGCTACTTCCTCAGTTTAAAAGCTTCCTGAGGGGGGCTTGGTGGCACCTAAAACTTAATACCCTTTTTTCCAGGAGACATGTGTTCCCATGCTCTTTAATTCCCACTCATTGTTTCGAATCTTTATAAACCATAGCATAGTCCCTATTTGTATGTTATGGTTTTAGAGAGCTTTTACAGAACTTTAAACTGTTACTTTTATTATAGAAATTTAAGTGGCTAGTTCTATCTCTTCTTGCGGAGAAGGACTTCAAACCCTGAGAGCCTCTTTCTGACTATTCCTGCTCCTCAACGTGCCTCTGGACAAGGGAGTTACTTCCTGATTGGAATTTTGTGGCATATATATAATCAAACTTAAATGGGGCACCAAAGTATTTTTTTTAATTTATTGATGTGAGAGAGCGAGAGGAGGGGGGAGAAACATTGATTTGTTGTTCCACTGATTGATGCACTCTTTGGTTGATTTCTTGTATGTGCCCTGACCAGGGATCAAACGTTCAACCTTAGCATATTGGGATGACGCCCTAACCAACCTAGCTACCTGGCCAGTGCTCAAAATATTTTTCAATTTAAAAAAATTATCAAAAAAAATTATAACATTTAACAGATTAACATACCATTGGCAATCTACCAGTTGTTAATGCTACATAGAATAATAAGTGTAACAATAAGCATTATTGCATTCTTCCATTTCTTAGGTTAGATTAACCTCTACTTCTCCAAGTTTTACATTTTTCTTAAAGTTTCAAAACTTTATATTTAATATAATTATTCCTTTAAAAAAATAAAGGTCAGGTTATTGCTTTGGGAAGTTGCCTGTGATTTGATTGTTTGAATATAACCTTTAGTTTTCAGTTGGAGTTCTAACAATGTAGTAGTATAGTATTAGGTAGGATTTTATTATGGAGGTTGGTAGTTTTCATTCATGTCACCTATGGGCTAAAAATGTTTGGTGCTGTAGAATATGACTGAGGAAGTGATATTTTGGAAGCCTACTATACACCCAGCACTGTGGTAGGAGTTTGCCCCATTATCTTATTCATACAATTGTTCTATTGGTTTTCATCTATCTGAGACCTAACACTTATTCTGATTGTACATAATTCCATTTATTTTAGTAGCTTATCAATAAATTTGCACCAATTTAATTTTTCTTAGAAAGTTATCATTAATACATACAACTCTTCTTTTAAAAACAGGATAAAAAAATCAGAGTGTCTCAACCCTTGACAAGAGGACCAAGTGCCTTTATTCCAGAGAAGGAAGTAAGTTTATCTGACTTATAATACATAGAAGAGTGATAAATAATAATTGTATCAAAGAATATTTTTAATATAGAAGTAAACATATGTTTTGCTCTTGTTTCTTATTTATGTCAGAAAACCACAGTTTTTCAACTTCACTAAAAAGATTGTGTGTATAATAATCTTCCTAAAATAATAGGTAGTACTACAGGATAAGAATCATAAATTTTTGCATATTTGATTTCAAATACAACTTTTCTGAGCAAAGTTCCTAAAAGTAATAAAATTTAATATTAACCTGAAGCTGTTAGGTTTAAAATGGCCACTGTTTCATGGTGATTATAGGTTATTAAATGTTAAGAAAAGATATTTTGAAATGAAAGTTTCCTAACCAAACTTGTTAAGTTTCCATATTAAACCTGTTATTAAATAAAACATGCTATTACATGACTAGTAGTTATTCTTTTCAGTTGGTTGTAAGTCTTCATTGCACAGAACGTTATAGAATCTCTGATGCAGTCTATACCTTGGGTGAGGGTGAGGAGTCCAGGTGGTGAATGCAAGAAAGGCTGTAAAATGATACAGAGGAAATTAAAATCAGTACAAGATTTGTGCCTGTCATGTGGGTATACATCTCTATGTATAGCAAAGTGCAGGACCTTCTAGATTTCTAGATGCCTCTCCAGATATACATGGGCTAAGAAAAGTTTGGGAACCACTAATTAACTAATTTTTCTCTGCTTCGAGGGGATAGTAACTCGTATGGAATGCTGTAATATTTACTGATTTCACAGTATATTGCCAAAATAGCATTTATCTTAAGGCACCAACATTATCCCCATATTGTTCTGAAATTAGTCAACAGATATTTATAGAATATCTATTATGTGCCAGACATTGTCTTAGAAGGGATGAGTAGCATTCAAATAAGACATGACAGGCCATTGCCAAAGTCAGCAGTTCCTTTACCTTAATTTCACTTTTTTCATGACCTTGCAATTTAAATGAAAACATTCAATGAAAGTTAACAGTAATGTTTTGGAGCTCAGTGACTGTAGCTGATGTAGTTGGTGACCATGTGTTAGGCTCCTATTTTACTCATATACCACAGGGACTGCACTTAGAGTGGTTGCTATATATATGTGGGGTCTGGCACAAATAGTACTCCCTTTTTTTATTATAAAATCTTTCATTACAGAATCATAGGCATGTAATTCTGTAATGCTGTAATATAACAATATCACACTAAAGCACACCATATGACATTTTAGGTGAAATGTTCAAATTAAAACTATAAATTATTACACGCATGTTATTACTCTACCAACTGCACTCAAACAGGCGTTACTTCTGCCAGAACCTTTATGTATGTATAAAGACTTACATGTATGTGTGTGTGTGTGTGTGTGTCTGTGTGTATAAAGACTTCCTGATACTATCATTTTCACAGTATATATTTGAAGATAATATGATTTGCATAAGCCACCACTGTTTTCAGGATCTGTTGCATCATATGAATCATTTATTAATGTATGTTAGGCATCAGTGAGAAGAAACTTCTGGGGAAAACAAAACAAAAACAACAAATATCTTACTCCTAATTATATGTAGTTCATCTAGATCCTAGTATATTTTTAACAATCTTGGTCCCTCTAGTTGACAAAATGGGGAAAATGTGTAAATAAACATATCTGGCTTTATAGTGAGCTAAAGTGAACTGTCTTTTTACACCACTGTAATTAACATTTCCTCACAATTTACACATTTCAAATATTGTTATTTTCTTTGGGATTAAATTTTTCACAGTCAGTAGTACCTTTTGTGTAACTTATTTTGAGAAGAGACTGTGGAGCCAGCCTGCAGAGTTAACAGAGTTTCTTACTAATGGTGTAGATCCTTGGAAAGACCATTTTGTTTGACGTTTAGGAGATCTGGATTCTAAATCAGGCTGTGCATGAGCTAGAATTTAATCTTGAATTTAATATAAGGAACACATTCTTAAGTCTAGAACTCTAAAATGTCAATAAATAATGAACCAATACTAGGAATATGTATCTCATGTCATTCATTCCCACAGAGCTGGGTCCTTCTACAAGGTGCTAATAAACCCTTTACACCTTTCAAGCCAGTTCTTGGTGTGATGCCCAAGCTGTCATTGTGTATGAAACTGTATATAAACAACCTATTTTTGAGTAAGCTCTGTTGATTCCCTAGAAAGGAGGATGTCCATTTTAATAACTTTACTTTGTTTTTGTAATTTACATGAAAGGCTCAAAATAGAAATGACAAGAATTCTAGTGCTAATTGATTTTTAATTAACACTTTCCTACAAACTATCATATTTTCTTTTGTCCCTAAAAAGACTTCAGAAGGCCTCTTTTTAATGTTGAAGAACAAAAACAAGCAAAGGATGAGGCTGAAGATATTTGTTTAAAGATAATGTGATTAAACATCTTCATAGGCTGTTGAGATAAAATAACAAATGTATGTAATCGAATTCCACTGCTTTTGCCTCACCACAAATTGGTTTGACAATGGCCATGCAAGTGGGCCCTGAAAAATTTGCCTTATGTTCCTGGCAAAGCAGATGGAAGCTTTTCCCCTCCAATTTCATAGCTGTGTATATAATATTTGATAATTTGACATTTGTTGTTTAATAAATTGTGGTACCAGAGCCAAAAATGAGTGGTGCTTTCTTTTTTACTTCTGTTTCCCATATGAGCAACTGTGTAATTCCAGTGTCTGTTAATATCAAAAGAACATTCATTTGCTTCAAAAGTGGCATAATTTATGTACACCAAGGATATGTTTACTTCTCAATAATTATCTTGTTTTGGGTTTCTTGGTTGTAAGGTTTTCCAAGCAAACACAGTGGATGAACGTACTAACTTTCTTGTGGAAGAATACTCTACATCTGGTCGTCTGGATAACATCACCCAGGTCATGAGTCTGCACACTCAGTACCTAGAATCTTTCCTGCGGAGCCAGTTCTACATGCTGCGCATGGATGGCCCCCTTCCTCTGTCACATAGGCACTACATCGCAATAATGGTGACTCTGTGCTCACTTATTATTCCTTCTTCTTTCTTGTATTGTGTTTGTGGGTGTGTAGAACTAATTATAATTTTAAGGACCTAAAAATTGAAGAAGCCTCTGGCCTTTTGGATACCATATCATTTGGGTACATCATGAATGCTTTAAGCCACTTAATGTACAGAAAATTTCTCATTTAATTTTTACTAAAATCATTGTCCATATTTAATCTCTTGTGATTAAAGATGTGTATAGGAGGCCAAAGTAATATCCTGTAACTTTTGTTTTTGCTTTTGATGCCTTGCTTTTATTATTAATATAAAAGAGTTTGTGACACTAGATTTAGTATTTTATACATAAAAATAATTACTGTTTTGGCTAAGAGGAAAGTCAGCACCAGTGGAGACTCTGGATAAGAGAATAATTTTTAAATGAATTGTAATACTTTTAAGTATAGTACTTGGTACTAATTAACTAGTTAATGTTTGGGAAGGGGAGAGAGAATTGTAAATTGGGATGATAGGCAGCAGGAGTGAGAAGGGTAGAAAGGAACAGTGCTACAGTTGAACTATTACTGGAGAAGAAGAGGAATGAGAACATGATGCAAGTGTTGTATATTTCAAGATCTACCAGCGGGGCTGACAGAGTTGGCAGAGTTAGCCAGGAGTTACCCGATTCATTTTACCAAGTTTCATTTGATTATCTTGTTTATGCGCTCACTAAAGGTTTAAACAAACACAGAAAAGGCAGCATTCTGTTTTATTGAATGATGAACTTGACTAAGGAAATAATTTTAGCTTAAGGTTTTGATGCAAGTAAGGCTGAAAGCTGACCTAGAACGGTCATAAACTAAGAAACAAAATACAGAAAATAGAAAGAATAAAACAATGCTATTTTACTGAGAAGAAGCCCTGAGGAAAGGAGCGGTGAAAAGTTTGCTTTATATGGATTTACCAAATTGTCAGTATCAAGGCTGATTTTGACCACGTAGGAAGGAAAGAGTCAGTGATCTTCCGTTTCTTCTCCGTAGAGCGATGTGCGTAGATAAGACAGAGGTCACAGTTATACCAAAGGGAGTAAGAGAATTACCCAAATCAACATGCATTCTGAATTGGTAGAATAGCAGCTAATGAGATTTTATTGTTTTAAATAGAGTACAGTTGATACAATTTACCGTAATGAAACAGACACACATTTTCTTAACAAAACAAGAAAGTGGCTTCTAAGTTGATTGGTACCAACTTCCAGGAAGTAATTGGCTTCACGTGACACTTTATGTGCTTATACAAGTGTCAGCTTCATGTAGGGATTCAAGAATCTATGGCATCATTGTGACAGGAGTTTTAGAAGGAGGAGGATTCAATAAGAAAAGAATTCTTGGCTATAAAAATTATGAATTCCATCTATATTTTTGTTTAGCAATAGTAGAGTATGAGTCTACCATGATTGTCTTATCAACTAACTCTTTGTTTTAGGCTGCAGCTAGACATCAGTGTTCTTACTTAATAAACATGCATGTGGATGAATTCCTGAAGACAGGAGGTATTGCTGAGTGGTTGAATGGTTTGGAATATGTACCACAAAGACTGAAAAATCTTAATGAAATAAATAAGCTGCTAGCACACCGACCCTGGCTGATCACGAAAGAGCACATTCAGGTACTGGGTGTTCTTTGAAATAAAAACGATATTTACTAATGACTCTAACTGAGAATTAATTTTTCAGTTAAGTATTTTGCTTAAGACTTAACATTAAAAACGTACATATTAGGAACTTGAAAAATAAAATAGTATGCTAATATATACAGAAAAATTAAGAAAGTGTGTTTAAGTATGAATGAATTCTTCTCTTTAAGTAATCAGTAATTAACTTGAACAAGTGTTTCAATGAATGGCAATGAGAAAAATTGATTTCTATTTTCAAGTAATGGGTAAACAAAGAGAATACACTAGCATGATAAGATACCTGGGTTGTAGTCTCTGCACTGTTCCTCACAAATGTGTGACCTTCAGTAAATTAACTTCTGTGGACCTCAGTAGTTCCCCTGCTCTAAAATAAGGGGCCTAGATTAAGTGAGTTCTAAGCTCTTTTCTGGTTCTAAAATTTTCATAATTTTAAGATATTCACAAAATGATTTTGCAGATGCTTAAATGCCTCTAGAAGGTAGCGCTCAGGTGAGAAATACAGTTAATAGACTAAAGCACTTGGCACTTCAAAAGGGCTTTCATCAAAGGCCTACAGGGTGAGGCTGTTTTATAATAAATATCCTTAACACTGTGCATGATACTTGGTAACTAATAAATAGGAGCTACCATCTAAATTATTATATGCAAGCCTTAGGTATTTAAAATCTCTTCTTCTAATGCATTGAGATATCTTTTTTTTTTTAAACCCTCTTATTTTTGTTAGTTATTTGCTTCGTTAAACCAAACTTAGCTTTCGTCAGTCTGCATGTGCTCAGATTTTAATTCTCTCTTTGGGGTCTGTGAAGAACAATGCTGTCCTGATGTTTATATTCTGGTTTGGTAATATGTTAGTTGGATAAAGGAGTTACTCATTACTTTAGTGTCACAAGTTAATTACTTTATGTCAGAAACTTTGGTGGATCTGAAAAGATAGACACTGCCCTTGGAATGCCTGGAGTCTAGAGGATGAGAGACAGAGAGGTAATGACAGTAATCACAGCATGATAGCATACGAATGTATGAGTAAAGAGAATGGGATTAGGAGGTTTCACAAAAGAGGTAACATTTGAGGTAGGTTGTGAAGAGTAAGTGGGAGTTTTCAAGTAAAGGAAGACATTTCAGTCAGAGGGTAGAGTATGAAATATTATAATATGACAGAAAAGAATTGGGATCATATTGTATGACCCAGTGAGTACTGTATTTGTGTTTCACCCTCACAAAGTTATGGTCTCCAAAGTTATATTAGAGGTACCTCACAGGGTGCACAAGGCAGTCCTTCAAAATGTTAGAAAAGGTGTATGTGTATTCTTATGTCATTCTTTTATATTTTTTGTTTCATAATATTAGTATTATAGTACATGTATATAACTAGTCTATAAAATTTTATAAGTATATATTAATTATAAATAAATGTATATACTCTCAGGAGATGGGCCCCCAAATGTTGCTGTCAGGAATACATGTGCTCAGAAGAGCTTAGAGATCCACTATGATAAAGAATCAAGAATCATTAAAGGTTTGGAGCTGAGTCGTATATGAGCATATTTGTTGATGCAGAAGATAAATATGATACAGACTAGAAGCAGAGAAGCCAGTCATAAAACAGTTGCAGTAATCCACCTGAAAGGTGATTTTTTTTTTTAACCATGGGGTGATGAAGAGGAGGGATCAGACAGTCTGTATGTAATCATTCTGCATAAGAATAAGCAGGGCTTGGTAACTGGCAGAATATGAGGATAGAGAAAAGGAGTGGACAAGAGAACTACTTTAAGGGTTCTATACCTTCCTGACTGTGCAGAAGGTAATGCCATGGGCCTTCATACACAGGCCTGAGAACAGGAGACTCTGACATCCATACAGTGATGTCCAGTTACTGGAGAAACTACAAGGCTGTAGTTCAGAATGAAGGATAGAGTAGAAATAAAATTGGATGGTTACTTACAGATAAGCAAAGGTCAGGTTGAAGGCATGAATGATCCATCCAGGGAGAAATTGTACAAGGAAAGAAGATCATGGATAGAGTAGAGCAAGCCAACATTGTGGAAGCAAGTCAGGAGAGAAGAAAAATCCATCTCAGGGTAGAAAGGGTTAAAAAAATAGTGAAATTGCTGAAGTCAGGGGAAATTGATTTCAAGAAGGAAGTGAGGAAAACGTAAATTCTGCAGAGATCACATAGGATAATACTAAAAGAACTAGTCATGTGTAGCTTCAGGAGTTTTTTTTTTTAAAGAAATCAGATTATAAGAAATAAATAAATATGAGGTGAGAAATTTGAAATGCTGTATACTGGCTGTGCTTTTAGTTTTAATGATAATCCTGGAAAGACTGGCAAAAGCATTGCAAATCTTACCAGTCCTTTTAGAAAGCTCTTTAGCAATATTATCAAGTCATAAAAATATTAATACCCTTTTCCCTAAAAATCCTTTCAGGAATTATGTCTAAAATTTGAGCAAAGCTATAGCATGAAGATGCTATTTATGGTAGCAAGTAAACAAAAATAATTCAGAAGCAATTTGTGTGTCTGACAGTAAAGTAATGGAGAAGTAGTTCTGTGCACCCATTCGTGGACAATATAGCCCATGCTTAAATATTAATATCAAACTGTAACCTTTGAGAGATAGGCATGTAAAAAAATGAAGTTTGAAAAGCAGAAAAATAGGTGTATACTCTGATTATATAATTATCTTATAAAAATAAAGGAAGATGTGTAAAAGTTGTATTAAGGTGGTAGAATATGATTGATTTTTTTTCCTTTTCTCTGAACTTTTGGTAATAAATTGTGTGTGTGTAGACGCACATAATTAAATGATGGAGAGTAAAATAAAAAGAGTTTTTGGCTTTAGTTTTTAGCCATGAAGTGACCCAAATGAAAAGTTTAGATTTGTAGGGAGTAGCAGGACACACACACACACACTTAGATTTGTAGGGAGTAGCAGGACACACACACACACACACACTCTCTCTCTCTCTCTCTCTCAGAAAGAGATGGACGGACAGAGAGAGAAGAGAACAAACGCTAATGGGAAAGAATCCTTGATGGGTTAATAGATGGATTTGGCTCTTGGGAAAAATAAAAGACTGCTGTTTTTAATGGCTTCACTTGTGATTCCATCATTCCGCTGGCATTTCAAGTCCAGTAGCATATAAAAAGTGCTTTGAAATTTTTAGTTTTTATTCACATGTGAGATAGTATTCTACACTTTTTATCATCTGCCGTAGGATCTGTCACTATCAGAAAAGGTATTTAAAAGGTATTAAAAGTTAACAATATTGACTTACTGAATTGGATTTTTATGTGACTTTTTTCAAGGTAGAGTCTCTACCCTAAAACTTTAAAATGAGTGGTTGTGCCATGTAATCTTTAAAGCCTGTTCTACATGTAATGTTCTTGGATTCTCTGAAATATCTTATTAAAATAACGTAATATGCAAAAGTGCTTTGGAAGCAGAAGTTCTATTACATATATATAGTATATGAATTTAGAAAAAGCTGCAATAAAATTACATTGTTAGGTTTGATAGTTGTAATATAATATTGTTTGACCAAAGCCATACCTTTAATATATGTAATATTTTTTCCTTTTCATTGAATTTATTGGTTTTTCGCTGGTTAACAATACTTACAGTTTCAGGTGCACAATTGTACAATACATCATCTGTCCACTGTATTGTGTGTTCACCACCCCAAGTCTCCTGAAACATTTTTAAAAAAAGTTTTAAGTTTTATTACTATAAATGAACACAAATAAAATTTGGTAGATTCTCCATTTTTTCTAAAATTGCTTTATAGCATTCTTTGATTTTAACTTTTTACTCCGATTTGCTTTTTCGTTTCAGAAACTTGTCAAAACTGGAGAAAATAATTGGTCTTTGCCTGAACTGGTACATGCTGTGGTCCTACTGGCACATTTTCATGCTTTGGCAAGCTTTGTTTTTGGTAGTGGCATCAATCCAGAAAGAGATCCAGAGATCTCCAATGGATTCAGGCTAATATCAGTCAACAATTTCTGCGTTTGTGACCTCGCTAATGACAACAACATAGAGAATGCATCTCTTACAGGCAATAACTTTGGGGTCAGTTTTCTTAACTCTCTTTAATGTTTTGCCTGTAAACTTCCTAACATTAAAAATATCTAGAGATAATTATGCTTTGATTAAACAGCATATATATACTTGAAATATTTTAGCATAATTTTTGTTACTGTAAAAATTTAACCTGTACCTGAAGTTATGAATTCTCTTAAAGAGGCTTTTACAGCAGATTGAAACTGTTACAAACTATAATGACTAAAACAATACAATATATCTTTGGTCTGTAAGACTCTGAAACAACCAATAGAGAATATATCTTACAACAGCAAAATCTTAAAAATTTGAAGTTGCTTCATTTTTAAAAATAAACCATAATATAATGTAATATATACTAAATGCTAGAATGCTAGAGTGAATATATCTATACTTACATACTTTGTATATGTATAACTGAAGCAAAAACATCATACTTTTGAAAATATTTGAATCTGTCATGCGATATTCTTTGGAGTTAGTCAGAAACTTAATAACAGTGCTCAAGCCACTGTACATAACAAGGTGACATTGAGAGATAGACATGTTTACAGGAATAATTTTTAATATTAATAACATCAACACTATCTTACCTGACTCCAGATTGTAGATTCTCTAAGTGAGCTGGAGGCCTTAATGGAAAGAATGAAAAGGCTTCAAGAAGAAAGGGAAGATGAAGACACATCTCAGGAAGAAATGACCACTCGTTTTGAGAAGGAGAAGAAAGAAAGTCTTTTTGTTGTCTCTGGAGATACTTTTCATTCATTTCCTCATTCAGGTGCCTTTTTTTCCTACTTTTGGTTATTGTTGGAACCCTGACATACCACATTCAGTATTTTCCATGTGGATATGTAAAAATGATTCTGCTCCCACGTTCCTTTTATTTAGTTCTTCTGTATGTTGTACGTGGTATACCTGATGCTATTGCTTTCCTTTTTATGTTGGCACATCTTTGGATATATTTAAGATCCAGTTGGGAGGAACTTCCAACTTTGTAGTCCATACTCTATCCTGGATAAAATGTTATTCAAAGCAAGCCAGTTACTTATAAAGTTAGAAATATTTAATTCATCCTACCTTTGTGATTTTTAAAAAAGTGAAATCCTGTTTCATCAGGTATAGATTTTTAAAAATATCTATGCCTCTTTTGTGGGTGGAGAGTGTGTAGGAGGGCTGTTCTCACTCTGCCACTTTACAGATTAGTTCTAAAAGTACATTGCACTAGCATCTGCATTTCTTTGGAGAAATCTTTGGAATTTTATAAAAATGTATTATTTGGGTCATTTGCTTAGATTGAGTTTGGAGGAATTTATTCCATACTTAAAACTAGGCTTCCTAACAGCTATAGTCTTAAAAACACATTTTTATCTAATACTTTAAGAGATTTTGAAATAAGAGAGAACTTTTCAATTACAACTATTGAACACCACATAGTAAATGTTATTAAAATAGCACAGATTCAATAAAAGCTTAAACCTTTCAGGCATTATTTAATCTATATAACATTTATTTATTTGTGTATTTATTTAATAATTCTGTTTCTGTTATGCTTGTTTGTTTTTTAGATTCAATTGTTGATAGATAGGTATTTACTGCCATTTTATTGTTCATATTTTTAATCTTTCTTTTCTTCTTCTTCTTTCTTCTTTCTTCTTTCTTCTTTCTTCTTCTTCAAAAAGACCCTTTAACATTTCATATAATACTGGTTTGGCAGTGATGAACTCCTTTAGCTTTTTCTTGTCTGGGAAGCTCTTTATCTGCCCTTCAGATCTAAATGATAGCTTTGCTGCATTGTGTAATCTTGGTTTTAAGTCCTTGATTTTCATCGCTTTGAATATTTCTTGCCAATCCCTTCTGGCCTGCAAAGTTTCTGTTGAGAAATCAGCTGACAGTCTTATGGGAGCCCCCTGGTAGGTAAAACTAACTGCTTTTCTCCTGCTGCTTTTAAGATTCCCTCCTTGTGTTTAACAGTGGGCAGTTTAATTATGATGTGTCTTGGAGTGGGCCTCTTTGGGTTCATCTTGTTTGGGACTCTCTGTGCTTCCTGGACTTGTATGTCTATGTCCTTCACCAAGTTAGGGAAATTTTCTTTCATTTTTTCAAATAGGTCTCCAATTTCTTGCTCTTTTGGCAGCTCTATGGTGCAAATGTTGGGATGCTTGAAGTTGTCGCAGAGGCTCCTTACACTATCCTCCTTTCTTTGGATTCATTTTTCTTGCTGTTCTTTTTTTTCCCCCCATTTATTTAATCTTTATTGTATTTTTTTCCATTATCATTTAGTTCTCTTGCATCTGCCTACCCCCCTCCTCCCAGCTGTTCTGATTGGTTGTTTTTTGCTTCATTATGTTCCAAATTGCTGATTTGATTCTCAGGTTCACCTACTCTGTTGTTGATTCTCTATAAGTTATTCTTTATTTCAATTAATGTATCTTTCATTTTTGACTGGATCTTTTTTTATGCTATTGAGGTCCTCACTAAGTCCCTTGAACATTCTTATAACCAGTGTTTTGAACTCTGCATCTTATAGATTGCTAGTCTCCATTTTGTTTAGCTCTTTTTCTGGTGTTTTGTTCTGTTCTTTCATTTGGGCTGTGTTTCTTTGTCTTCTCATTTTGGCAGTTTCCCTGTTTTTGTGTGTTAGGTAGACCTACTGTGTCTCCCAGGATTGATAGAGTATCTTAATATAGTAGGTGTCCTGTAGGGTCCAGTGGTATAGCCTCCCCTATTACCCTAGCTGGGTACTCAAGGTACATCCACAGTGTGGGCTGTATACACCCTCCTCTTAGAGTTGAGCTTTTATTGCTGTTGGCATATCCACAGTCTGCCACCACCTGTATTCTCTCCGGGGTCACACAGCATTACCTACAAACTGATCTGCAGATGGCTGCTACTTGGAGTTGCCCACTAGAGGCCAGGTTGTGAACCAAGACCTTCTGCTACTAGTGTTGGACCCTGTGGCACCTTAGCAAGAGGTACAGGGCTCACTAAAGTTTTTTTGAGAGAATGAAGGAAAATCTGAAGCATAGGCCACAACAAGCCATTCATATGGAAAAGTCACTGGAAACAGCTTAGGTGGGCCTCGTAGTTGGGTGGGGCAGATTCTCAGGCAATCTCAAAGGTTGGGCAGTGTGGGCTAGATTGAGTCTCAGATACAGCACCTGCCTGTCAGCACTGTGGCTCTGTGGGGGGGCAATGGGGGCGGTGCTCAGAAAAGGAACAGTGGCTTCTGCCAGCTCTTCTCTCTGGGATAAAACTGTCCCCCAGCACTTGCCCTGATGCCAGACAATTCAGTTTCTCCCCCATATGTCTCTAATTTCTTTCAATCTGCTGCCCTGGTGCTTGACCTCAGAGGCAGTGAGTCCAAGTAAATTTGTGTGTGGGCCTTTTAGGAGGAACTGCCTGGGATTTCAGCAGTTTCTAGCTTTCACAGCCTCGATCCCTGCTAGTTTTTACAGCCAGAAGTTATGGGAACTTACCTTCCTGGCACTGGAACCCTGGGCTGGGGGACATGGTCGGGAGCTGGAACTCCTCACTCCTGAGATATCCTTCTTGATTTTTATTTGCCATACATGACTCTGGGATCAGCCTGTTCCACATCTCCACCCCTTCTACCAATCTTGATGTGGTTTCTTCTTTAATTCTGTAGTCGTAGGACTTACATTCAGCTCAATTTCTGATGTTTCTGAATGATTTTTGTTCAGTAGTTTAGTTGTAATTTTGATGTGGTTATGTGAGGATGTGAGCTCTGTTTACCGATGCTACCATCTTGAGTGGCCATAACATTTATTTTTAAAATCGAGTTCCATTTGGCTTAAAATGGGGCTTCAAAATAATTGGTCTTAAGACTCATCAGTTTAATAAACTCTGAGAGTAATTGATTTGACAATCATTTTTCTGTTAACTTGAAGCATCGCATCAACCAATAGCTCTCAGAAGCTTTACCAGGAAAAAGAAGTCCTTTTAATCATTTCTTGGGATGATCTTTTTTTTTATGAAAGGTTTTTACCTGTAAAATTGAGTATATTAAGTAATACTTTCAGAGCTTCTCAGCAATAGGAAATTCCCCCCAAAATGAAACTTAGTGTTTTAATTATTTATTTAATATTCACTTTACAAGCATTTATTCAGTACCCTCTATATTTGTAGCCCTGTGATAAGTACATTTTCCGTCTAAATAAGGCACGGTTTCTGCTTTATGAAAGCTATCATTGATAATGGGAAAGAAATAAATTACAATACATAGTAGAAAGTGAAGGGTATATGCACCTAGAAGAGGATACTGAACTCAAGTCTTGATAGGGGAAGAGTGAGAACAGAAGCGGTTCCTAGAGGATGACTTTCACCAACCACTTGGCTCTAAGCTAAGTCTAAGAATCTTGAGTTCAGGAGAGTCAGGCAGTGGCTGGGGACAGGAGAATTGGTGATAAACAGCATCCAAGCCTGAGCCAAGGCATGGTAGTAAGGAAACAGGATGCTTGCTTCAGGAAAAAAAAAAAAATGGTTGTCGTGTTAGGATATAAATCATGAGGTAAGTAATGTGACAAGGAACTAGTTAAGGAGATAGGGGTCTTATCATGTGGATCTGATCTTTCTAACCTTAAGGGATATGTAAGCTGCTATAGTTTGGACTTTGAGAGTTGAGATGTCCATAAAACATCTAGTCTGGAGCTGTCTAACACAGTGTCCCTCAAAGTGTACTGTGCATGTGAGTCACTGGCAAGTCTGGATGAAATGCAGATTCTGATTCAGTCAGTCTGGGCAAGGATCTGATCAGCCACATTTTAATCATAGTTCCAAGTGATACTAATGCTGTTACTCTGCAAACCACTCTTGGAGTAGTAGTGTCAAGATCAGGAGAGGGCTTTAAGCTTGAGATCAAGTTTTAGACTTTACATAAAACTTTATCAGCCTATAATTAGGGGTTAAAATCAAAAGAGTTCATTATAAAAATCACCCCGGGAGAACTGCCCTGACTGCTGTAGCTCAGTGGGTTGAGTGTCATCCTGCAGGCTGAAGTTGTCAGTTCAATTCCTGATCAGGGGGTATGCTTGGGTTTCAGGACAGGTCCGCGGATGGGGGCATGCAAGAGGCAACCAATGGATGTTTCTCTCACACATTGATGTTTCTCTTCCTCTCTTTCTCCCTCCTTTTCCTCTCTCTAAAAATAAAGAAAGAAAATCTTTTTAAAAAAATCACCAAGGGAGAAGAAAGGGGACAAAGAAAGATGGTGAGCCTAGTGTGTACCTTCTAGGTAAATGAGTATTTTAAAATACAAACATTTTATTAAGGTTAATAAAATCTATTTGCTTTTAGACATTACTTTTTAAGAGCTTCTCTAGGATCACTAGAGCTTAAAAGATATAAATGTTTTATTTTTTAGGTATTTGTTTTTAGTACTGAAACTCTATTCTGTGTCCCAGTCTCTCTATCTTCTTGGACCCTTCAGCAGGGATGACTGCTTTTAAAATGAATTTTTGACAAACAAGTCTTAGACCCCAGTCAAAAATTTTGTTCTAATTTTAACAGAAAAGGCCATGTCATTTGCAAATCATTTGAGGAAATAAATCATTTAATTATTTACTCTTAAGCATTCCCAGTACCTAAATTTGCTTTTCACATGAAGATAACATAAGAAAAATGACTTCATACAGTGGCTAATTGAGTCATTTCCATAAACTCACCATGTTTTAAAATGGAAATAGAACTTTATTTTTTCCTATAAAAAACTTTTTGGTTTCACCAGTTGATAAAGCATTCCAGATTCCACGTAGAGATTCCAAATAATTTTCAATTCTTTTGAAGAAAATATTTAAAGTGTTATATAGGGGTGGTATTCTGTAGCTTGGTAACAGAGTTAACCAGCTTTTATTGGTTTTTTGTTTGTTTGTTTGTTTTTAAAGTTAGAAAGGTGTACCATGGGTGTAACATAATGTTTTCTGTATTTTGTTAATAGTTACTCCTTAGAGGCAGAAGAATGCAGACAATGTACAAAATACTCTTTTGTTTGCATTAAGACTGAAATATTTGTTTAGGTAGAATTAAAATGAGAGCTTTAGATTTGTTGATTAGAGTACTAATTTTAATTTTTTTTCAACTTTATTTTTTTATTTTTAATTTTTTAAACTTTATTTTTTAAATTTATTTTTATTTTTTTAAATTTATTTTTCCAAATACATTTGTCTCTGCCTTTCCCTACCACTTTTCCCTGCCCCCTCCCCCTCTCCTTCCCTCAATCCTTCCCCACTTTGGTTTTGTCCATGGATCCTTGTTCTATGTTCCTTGACTTGCCCCTTCCCTTCCTTTTCCCCCACCCACCCCTCCCTCCTTCTTAAGATAAATACAGGAAAAAGATATATATGGTTTGATAGACCTTTTTGTACATTTCTTTTATTAGACAAAATTGTCTAGAAAACAGGTCTCTTTTGACTCCTATTTAAAAATGAATAAATGGATCATATTCATAGGATAAATTTTTATCTTATTTGGCTGTTTACCGTTTTGGGGGGTCAGGGAAGAACAGAACAAAACTCCAGAAAAGAACTAAACAAAATGAAGTCAAGCAATCTATTAGATGCAGATTTCAAAACACTGGTAATTAGGATGCTCAATGAACTTAGTGAGAACCTGAAAAGCATAAAAAAAGGAACGGTCAGAAATGAATAGTTTACAGGGAATCAACAATATAGTAGATGAAGCCAAGAATCGAATTAGCGATTTGGAATATTTGGAGTATAAGAAAAGAAAAAAGGAATCAAAAAGAAATGATGATAATGTAAGGAGCCTCTGGGACAACTTCAAGCATCCCAACATTCACATCATGGGGGTGCCCAAAGGAGAAAGAAAGAGCAAGAAATTGATAACCTAATTGAAAAAATAAAGATAGAAAACTTCCCTAACTTGGTGAAGGACATAGACATACAAGTCCAGGAAGCACAGAGAGTCCCAAACAAGATGAACCCAAAGAGGCCCACTCCAAGACACATCATAATTAAACTGCCCACTGTTAAACACAAGGAGGGAATCTTAAAAGCAGCAGGAGAAAAGCAGTTAGTTTTACCTACCAGGGGGCTCCCATAAGACTGTCAGCTGATTTCTCAACAGAAACTTTGCAGGCCAGAAGGGATTGGCAAGAAATATTCAAAGCGATGAAAATCAAGGACTTAAAACCAAGATTACACAATGCAGCAAAGCTATCATTTAGATCTGAAGGGCAGATAAAGAGCTTCCCAGACAAGAAAAAGCTAAAGGAGTTCATCACTGCCAAACCAGTATTATATGAAATGTTGAAGGGTCTTTTTGAAGAAGAAGAAAGAAGAAAGAAGAAGAAAAGAAAGATTAAAAATATGAACAATAAAATGGCAGTAAATACCTATCTATCAACAATTGAATCTAAAAACAGAATAAATGAAGAAGCCGAACAGAACAGACTTACAGATACAGGGAACATTTTGACAGTTGTCAGATGGGAGGTGGAGTAGGGGGATGGGTAAAAAGGGTATAGCGATTAAGAAACACAAATTGATTGTTACAAAATAATCATGGGGATGTAAAGTACAGCATAGGAATATAGTCAATAATATTCTAATTAACTATGTATGGGGCCAGGTGGATGTGAGATTTGTAGGGATGATCACTTACTAAGTTATGTAATGTCTAATCACTGGGCTGTATGCCTGAAATTAATATAATAATGTATGTCAACTATAATTGAAAAATTTAAAAATGATTTAAAATTTAAAAAATAAAGTTTATATAGTAAGGCTAAAAAAAAATCAACGTATTGCCCTGGCTGCGTGGCTGTTATTTGGAGCATCATTCCATGCATGAAAAGGTTGCCAGTTTGATTCCCAGTAAGGGCACATGCATAAGCTGCAAGTTTAATCCCCAGTTATGGTGCATGAGGGGGGCTACTGATCAATTTTTTTTTCATCAGTGTTTCTCTTTCTCCTTTTCGCTCTAAAAAGTAATAGAAACGTGTCCTTGAGTGAGAATTTAAAAAAATCAGTTTCTCATCTATATCTGAATTGAAGTTCCTTTATATGAATCAGAAGTTAGATTAAATATTTTTTAAAAAATAGAAAAAATTAACATGCATTGGGTTTTTACAATTTCTCAGTAGTAAACTTTTAATATTATCAAACATACAGAAGTTAGCTGAGTTAAGATATTGTTGTAGTCTTCCTATCTTCCTTAATGCCATTTTGATAGTATTTCATTATAATCTCATTAGCATTTCTTTACTCCATATGATGTATACCTTTTATTTTCATGTGCCCAGAAAAGACACATATCCGAGGTGTAAAACTCAATAAATTTTCAGAAACAGGCCTTCCTCGTTTAACTAGCAGCAAGTCAATTAAGAATAATACTGGCTCCCAAAAGTCCATTTTCATCCCTGTTGTGTTCCTTTGCCAGTGCCTCTCTCTATATGCCTCTTGGTAAACCAAAACTGAACTAATTTTCCCTGTGAATACATCCAGATGAAAGACCATCTAATTTTAACAAAATCCATCCCAATTAAAGTAATCTTTACCTTCATCCCTCCTCTCCTCCATTCTCACTTTATCCCCAGAGAGATCAAAGTTTAAGCTTTATACTCATAGGTCTTTGCCATCTTCCTTTTCTCAATAAGCTACTATTATTTAGATTATTGCAATTTAGTCAATTTTTTGACTGAGTAACTATAGTGAAATGTTAAGATGGCCATTATTTGGTAATGATACTGTATTCAAAACTTAAGCAGTAGATATTTTATATGAATTGAAGCCAGGTAATCCATATTGTCACTTTGGAAATCCATGGAAAAGCTAAAAAGTGTAGGAAAATGAAGGTGTTTTACTGTTCTAACTTGTATAGTTTTCTTAATACTAGATTGTTATTGTTCTTAGATTTCGAAGATGACATGATTATAACATCTGATGTCTCCCGATATATTGAAGACCCTAGTTTTGGATATGAAGACTTTGCCAGACGAGGAGAAGAACATTTGCCAACATTCCGAGCTCAGGTATGAGATATCTTTATTTCAGAGAAACTAGAGAATAAATACTATTATTTCAACTGTGAAATGTTGAAATATAAATAAATTGGCTTCTAAAGATATTAGTAGATAATTTTGATAGAGTCTGTCATTCTTTTTATTTAATCCAGTTTTCAGCCTAGTCTAATTTGATGTCCCAATAGATGCATTATTATTTCCATGTTTTCCCCGCTTAGAAGGCGAAAAGGAAACTGTTCTATTCAGTTACTTGCCTTATTACATGGTAGTTGGATTTTCATACCACTTTTGGAGGAGGAGCATAGCAAAGAAGAAATCAAGTGATGTATTGCAATTATTATTAAAAGACATTTTATAATAAGATCATAAACCAGTAGCTAATGGCTTAAGAGCTATTCCTTCCCCATTCATAGAAAAGTATAGTCACAATAATGATGTGACGCCTAAAGAGAGTATAAGTTTGAATTAACACAAACCTCCTTTGCACCTCTTTCAGATGATCTAACTGTCCATGTTATTGAATAGGTTTTGTCACATAGGAATAGTTGAGGATCTTCTGGGGTCCTTCCAGATTAGGGTGTACTTTGCATAGTGTTGTGCTTGACCATAGGAAGTAGCCAGTTTATTACTGACATGCTAACCCCTGGACCCCACTGAGGAAACAATATGGCGCTCCAATGTACAAACTAACGTGAAGGCTACTTAGTAAATCTACAAGCTTAGAAATAAATTTGAAATACCTTCACTTACTTGCTTTTAAATAGTTAGAGTTAATAAAAACACAGAGATTATTTAAATAAAGAATGTCCATTTTGTAATTATACCTTTTATTCTTTTAGGACTATACCTGGGAAAATCATGGGTTCTCCCTGGTGAACAGACTTTATTCTGACATTGGACATCTTCTTGATGAAAAGTTTCGCATGGTCTACAGTCTCACCTATAACACTATGGCCACCCATGAGGACGTTGACACAACCATGCTGCACAGAGCTTTATTTAACTATGTTCACTGTATGTTTGGAATCAGGTACGTTCATTGTGGAGATAGTTTTATACATTTCTAAAGGAAAATTCTGACATGAGTCTTAATTCTCTCCTGTTTAGGAGTATGTAGTTCTGGGGAGAAAGATATTACATATAGATTTCGGATTTTAAAAAAATTTTACATTATAGGAAAGCATTTGTATACGGTTAACTGTTGTAATCTTAACATGCATATGTAAATATAGTCATACAACAATTTACTAGTGAGGGGAAAAATATCAGGAGTCGTTGGAGAGAGGAGAAAATCAGACTCAGTTTGAGAGCCCTTCCTGGAAGAACTAGCAGCCCAAAACCATGTATTGTATTTCTTTAGATCGCTTAATAAATGCTAATTGGTTAGATAGTGAGTTTTAAAGGAATGGTAATTAGGGTATAAATAAACATAGGATAGATTCTGCCCTCATTAAGCTTAAGTAAGGTCACATAAGAACCCTGAAACAAAAGTACCAGCCAGTGTAAATTAATAGCTTCTACATTTTAAAATTTAACATCGAGTGGATAGAGGTGGAAGAGGATATAAGGGGGTAAATGGTAATGGGAAAAGCACAGTAAAAAATAAATAAAAAAAAATTAGCATTGAGAGAACAGTGATAAATGAGATTGAGTGGTCTAATCAGGAAAGCTGTTTTCTTTCTTTTTCTTTTTTAGAGATTGTGTCTTTTAGAGGTGGTTTTTGAAGTCTTTTATGGAGATACATTTGCAGAAAGAGAAAGTCTCCAGTTATAAATGCATTTGTTTTGACTCTGTACTATATCCTTTCTGATATAAAGTATCAGAAAACCATTGTGAAGTGGAATTAGAATTTAATTTGTTAAGCAAAGTAGTTTTATAATTTTAACTAGAAAAAAAACAGATTTTCTGAAATATCAACATTCTACCTAAAAGACACTATCATGATTGTAAACAATAACTGCTATTTACTCATTTACTATCCTAGTCAATAAGTTATCACAGAATCATCACATTTTAAAACACAAATATTATATCTACCTTGTTAAGAAGAATAAACACCAATAGAATTTAATTCAGTTGTGGTAAATGTTTATTATATTCATGAAAATAAATAACATGTTATGCTGATTATATTTATCTATGGGATGCTATCAAATAAAGTTTATATAAAATCCTTGAGATACTGTGTTTTATCTGTGTTAAAAATTAACTGAAAGTATAGAAATTTCACAAACCCCCACTACTGCATTTACCCTCCCATCTGCCTCTGTGCCCCTTTACTCTGGCTCCTCTCACTTGTTATGGGTGAACTGATGCTCCTGTGCACTTGGGCACAAAGCCCCATCTTCCCTCATCTCCTAAATATCCTTAGTCTAGCAATCTCCCTTTTCTGTGTGATCACCTTTATTATCTTTATTGGATCTTTCTCATCAGTATATAAACTTGCTGTTACTTCTTCTCTCATCTTAATAACTTTGTTTTCTTCATTCTGCTTTTCTCTCTTGCTTTTGCCTCATTTTTCTGCTCCTGTGCACAGCAAACCTCTTTGAAAAAATTTTGTACGTTTACTGTCACCATTTTCTCATCTCTTATTCTCTCGTGAACTTGCTTCCAGATTGGGCTTTTACTCTTCCCTTGCGAACAAAAAGTCTCATTGAGGTTGCTAGTGACCTCTGTATAGCTAATTTCCGGTGGTCAGTTTCCAGTTATCATCTTACTTGAGTCAGCAGCGCTGGACACAGTTCATTACTCCTTCTTTCCTGAGACTCTTAACTCCTGCTTAGGGTTTTATACTAGCTCCCTCAGGTATTTCTCAGATGTCAGCCTCTCAGAGGAGCCTTCCTGCCCTCCCTATCTAAAAATCACAGCTCTTTTAGTCACGAGTTTCATTTTATCTCCATAGCAGTTATCACCATCTGATATACTATGCTTTTATCTTTTTAATTTTTCTTTTTTCTCCAGTAGAATTTAAGTTTCATGAGACCAGGGATTTTCTCTATTTTGTTCATTTGCCTCTCACCATTCCTTAAAAGAGTACATGGAAAGTACGTGGCACATAATAGGCATTCAATAAATATGTTTAGGTTAATTAATTAATGAGTTTTTGGTGTTTAATTCCTAGATAATAAATGTCTCTGGTACAACTTTGGAAGTCAGAAATTTTTTTTTTGTCATTATCAAGCTGTTGTCATATTGCTCATAGGTATGATGACTATGATTATGGAGAAGTTAATCAATTACTTGAACGAAGCCTGAAGGTTTACATTAAGACAGTGGCCTGCTATCCTGAGAGAACTACCAAGCGCATGTATGACAGTTACTGGCGTCAGTTCAAACACTCAGAAAAGGTATGTTTCATGACTAAACATTATACCATAGGTAGATTATTCAATATAAGAAGTAATGATTATGAAAAATTACGCACAAAAATATTAATAAATTAGTGCCATTTATGAAATGGAAGTGGCATCATCTAGCCATCTTTTTAAAAATGTTTTTAAATTCAGGTTTATTGAATATTAACTAAATTTTGGTTGTGTGCTTTGTCTAGTGTGGTGTATAAAGTAAAAGTTTAGCCTTTACTAAACTTTGGCCTTTAAAGGACTCATGGGTGTGGACAACAGTGTGGTGATTGCTGGGAAGAGGGAGGTATAAGGGGACTAAATGGTAATGGAGGAAAAAAACTGAAAAAAAAAGAGAGAAAGAAAATTTTAATCTGAGTGTAGATATTTTTAAAGTACATTTGAAAAACCATCTATCATTCTAACAATGAATAAAAGTCAAACCTACTGAGGTGGTGTGATAAGTGTAATTGTGTCTTGGCCTAGAAGGCCTATCCATTTAGAGATTTTTTTAACTGCAGCCTTTAGAGTCAGCTTACTAAAACAATAGTTTCTCATTCTAATTTGGTAATTTAGTATTTTGATAATATAATGCAGGACCTTTGAGTCAAATATATTATATAAAAATATTTCTTTGGATAAAGGGGAATCATTATTTAAGAATTAATAAATATTAAGGATCTTTATTAACATTATAAGAACTGGCCTTAAACCTAAGGTCTATTGACTGTTAAGTCCAAGAATCTTCCATTTTATTCCACTGTTTTCAAGCTTGAAAGTAAAAAATATTTTTAGGGTCCTAGTATTCACTATGTAAATAAATATGACCTTGGCAGCAAATGTTATGGCCTTAGTACCTGACATAGTTTTTTGAGAAGTCTTGGAGCCAATCACACACTCAATGAATATCCACCGCATCTCTCATTGATGGATCTTAATGGCCTTGTTTATATGTTTGCAGTATATTCTCTTCCTTGACTAGGTTTTATCTAGAAATTCTCTTCATGATTCATATCTAACAACATACCAACCAATAGTAAGTTACCAAAATAATTGAAATGTAATACCACATTTTTGTAATACATTTTGAGAATACATGAGTATTCATTTTAGCCTATCAGCTGAGAAGTAGTATCCTCCAAAAAGTTAAGTGCTTTTTCACAGCTGTTTTTAAAAGACTCTAGGGAAGCTGCGCATATCTAATAAGTACCAGACACTAATTACAAACTGCTGAAAGCTTCAGATGTTCACTTTAGTATCCTTTCAATTAAATAGTAAAAAAGTGTTTTTTAAAAGTCTCCCAAGGAATAAGCATAGACTATAAGAAATGCAGGGCTGATTTTTAGACATACAAAATTTTACAACTGGCAGAAAGTATTAATATAGCTTTTAGAAAAGTTGTATAAAAATTAGTTTCATTTTATAACCCAAAAGATTGAATGGCTTTACATAACATATATTCTAACAAAATTATTGGAACTGTTAAAACTTTAGGGGTTATCTTTACCGCTTACAAGAACCATTTTTTATAAACAGTTTTTCTCTGGATGTAACATCATGTACATGCATGACTGCCCCGCGGGTGTGTTTGTGCACATGTATACATACACCAGAAGAACCTTTGTGGAGGCCTGCTGTATGAAGAAAATTTAAAGTTTTTCAGTTCATAATGGTCATTAAATTGGTAGCATTTTCATTTCTAGGTTCACGTCAATTTACTTTTAATGGAAGCACGGATGCAAGCTGAACTTCTGTATGCTCTTCGTGCCATCACTCGGCATTTGACCTGAAGCATCATCAGGGAAAATGTTATATATGTGTAAAGACCTTTTCACATACGATATACATCAGAAGCTGTTTGTGATGTAGCATCAGAAATTATTCACTTCTCTGTGTCAAAGTTTAGCCGTTTTTTTGGGGGCGGCTGTAATGTGCAATGATGTGTTTTCTTTTTCTTGATGCTTAACATTACTAACAATTGCAAAAATAATACTGAGGAGCACTACTTTGCATTGTTTTAGTTGGATTTTTGGAAGCTGATCAAAATCATGAACCTGGTATGTTAATGCTTAACTTCAGCGCTTTGGGGTTTGTGTGTATGTATATTTCCCTCCCCCCTTTTTTTGGTTTAACAAGGAAAAGCGCTTACAATCTGCTCAAGTGATTATTGATTCAGATATTGGAATTCAGCAAAGAATAACCTCCTCTGGTCATTCTCAACTCTTCATGTTGTGTCCTAAATCTGGTAGAGGAAAAGCATGTGCTGTTGAACTAAGCTGCTCACAGGACACATACCTGTGTCCCCAGGAGATTATTTGTCAGGCACTGTTTGGTTTTTTTTTTTTTGTTGTTGTTCGTTTGTTTTTGGTTTTTTACTGCTATTGGCGATAACGTGAAATGTGATACAGCCATTGTCCATTATTTAATGTGAAATTAATCATGATGAATTCTATAGCATGCTACTGAAATGCCAAATTCAGCTATTTTCTTTCTCTTCTGAAACAGAAGTTTCAGTTTTCCGTATCAGATGTATATATTAAAAGTGGAATTATGCACAATCCTTTCTATCACTGACAGCAATCCTCAGTCATCTTAAATAATCAGTGCTTACAGTGCTGCTTACAGTTCGTTTAGTTGACACATACAAAGTTGTACCCACCCACACAAGGCTGACCAAAAATTTTCTTTGCACATTTTTCTTTTCTCATAGTGTTTTCTGTATTGCAGTAAGCAGAAGGTTAATACACCTATATATTTTTTCCTATTAGGCTTTTAGAACTTATTTTCCATGATTTTTCTTATAATAGGTTAAAACAGTTTATTATTCAAAGGTAAAAATTGTGTTTCTATGCATTAATGTGAATGAACAACAACAACAAAAAGAGTGCAATATGTTAAAAAATATATATACTCAACTAAACTTTCCCCCTATTAGTCACTGCAGAAGTGTCCTTTCAAACAGAGCCATAAAGAAATTTGATTCAGATTTCTTTATTGCATAAGGCTTTTGTCTTACTGGGGTTGAACAATGTTCCTTTCATAATGCCAAAGCATCCCCTGCCCCAGAAAAATCTCTTTGGATGACTGGTTAAAAAAGATTTATCAAGTCTTAGGGGGAAGAATATAAGCATCCAAAAAGTCACATTTTTGCATTGGTTTATGTTGCTTGGTTAGAGTATCTTCACAGAGCACAACATTATGTGTTTATAGCTTTAATTTGTCTTATGTTAACAAACCAGTGAAGTGCCTAAAGAGATGCTGACAACTAATCCAGTAGGACACGACTGCACAGCTTAAACGCTTTTTGGTTAATTGAAGGTGACTTAAATTGTACACCAACATACTAATTTTTTAAAACATCCATTTTTTTCATAGTAAATAATATAGTTAAAAATTTTCCCCCCATAAAGATTTTAGATTTACTTACTTGTTATATAGGACTTACGTTTTTTCCTCTCTCATGAAAGAATAGTGGACTAGTGTTTTGTTAAATAATTTCCCCCTTCCATGTATCTTCCTTTTCTGGTACAATAAATAGGTTGCTTTCTTTTAGATCTTGTTCCAGATGAGAAAATAGAAAGATGACTGTAAGCCTATTAACATAAGGAAGTTCCGCATTTTTAGATTCTAGGATCTTCTTTGAAAACTTCCATGTGAGGAAAAAATTACTAATTTTTTAAAGACAGGGTGGTTTCTTTAAAGAGATTAGTCAAAGAACTCATGCCAGTTTTCTTCTGTTTTGTTGATATGCCGTATGTTGGTTTTATTTAGTATCATATTATATAGATATGTTTTATAAAGAAAATATGTACGAGAATGGCAAAACCCAGATGACAACATAAATGTCCATTTAACTTCCCTAACTTTAGAACTTTCAAGTTGAGGATATCTTATTCTCGACGTTTTTTTTGTTTTTTGTTTTTCTTTTTAATAGAATTCTTTCAGTTAACAGGCCTCTATTTTTGTGCAGGTGACCTGTGTTACAGGATGAAAATGATGTTTATATATTGAAAAGGAGGAGAAATTCTCAGAGAACACCACATGAGCTTTAGACCAAAAGGGGAAACAAGGTTTAAGTAACTAAAATGGCCACTTAGTTTTTGTTTTTTTCTTTATTTCCCCAGAAATGTAAGTAGTTGGAATTTGGGTTATGGAAATATTAGTGCCTTTACTAGATGTTTTTCCTAGCAAAATTTCTTTTCAACTCAGCATTGATCTATCTCATCAGTAATCAGGAAAATCAGTTGACTTGGAACTATAAACAAAAACAAAACAATTTATTTATGAACCTCAGTGAACCAGCCTAGAAAAATTGACTTCTGGAGGTGCCTAAGCACCTACTCAGATGCAGCATGCACAGCATTCCAGGTTGTGAATACCATGTTACACAGAGTTTGCTGTGAACTTTATCTAATGCAAACTTGAAATTCTGATGCGGTTTTCCAGGGTGGTATATTTTCAGAGTATTGAATTTACTATGTAGTAATTTATAGTATAGCTTTTTATATTAAAATGTGATATTTTTAAAAGAGCTATCTGGTTCAATTGGTGAAATGATATGATTATATAAGATGCTAACCTACACCTTGGGCTCACATTGTGCCAAACTTAAATGTGCAAGTGTACGTGAAAAAAAGCACATGTGAATGTGAACTCTCTAACTTCGTTGCTTATTATGTTAAAATTAGTCTAGTCATCCACTGATGTATATGCTTGATCGATGTCTTTTTCCTGTCAAATTTCAGGTTTTCCAGCTCCAGTTGTAATTCTTAATTTCTCAGATCACCTTAAAAAATACCTAAATACTGTCCCATCTGAAAGTAAATCTGTTCTTTAACCCGACCCCTTGACTGTGGGAGTGGCCTGGCCGCCTCGCTGGATTGTCAGATTAGGCCTCCTCAGGTGAACTCATGATATTTAGAGGAAAAAAGGCTTTTGAGACGGGACTGCTTATTACCTTACTCACCTTTTTGAACTAAGTATATTGTCTCAGTCTCAGGAAGAATCTTTGTTTCATTTAGGGTACTATTTTTAGAAAAAAAGATGGCCCTTCATTATGGCTTTAAACCCAAATAATGGCCAAGTTTCACAGCACTGTTTTAGAACAGAGAACTCAATGTAAGTTTTTTATCAAAATCATATTTGAACCAGAACCCCTATTTTAGTTGTGTTATATATAGTCTAAAATTTTTCAATGCTTCTAAAAGCTAATTAACATTATTCCAGAGCAACTTTTTCCTTTCCACTTTACAGAGTTATTTTTAATCCAAAATCATTTTTTTTGTGCTGCAGCAAAATAAAATTATCAGCAAACAAAGACCTATACTAAAAAATAGTTCACCACTTTAGTGCAGAGTGCATGCATATATGATGGTAATTCTTTTAAACTCCAAGGACAATTCATCAGGGAAAAAACAAATTTCAGTGCATGTTATAAAAATGATTTGCACTGTACTAGTGAAATGATGTTTTTGTTTTATGTCATGTTTAAAGACAATTCTAAATCATTCCTCTGGAAAGAAAGACCTTAAACTCTTTATCTAATAGGACTTTTTATTTTATGCAAATAGATGGTCTTGCTGCATGGAGTAAACTTATGCAACACTAATGCTATGTAAATAATATATGAAATTTTCTTAGTAGTATAATTCAACAGCAAACTGAAAGACATGTGGCTACACTGTTTAGATTAAGTTTTAAGTTAGCCAGTTTGTATAATCAGAACCTCTTCTAGGTGGCCATCATCATAAACTATGTTTCCCTATAATCTCCCTCTGGAGACTGAGAATTAAAATAAGTAGTCTTTCCTCAGAGCAGTACTGTAACATGAATGTATTCATCTCAGTCAACAGAACTTAAATGCCCCCTTTATGTGGAGCATATTTCCATGCTAATGTGGCTCAGCAGTGTCTGCTCAGGTGAGACCTAGAACAAAAATAGCAGGAGTGAAATGGATCATAGAGGTAGAGGTATATGTCAAGGCAGAGCCTGGCGAGGAAGGAAAAGGTTTTCAAAGAACACGTGGAACATAATTTTCCGAGAGCGTGGCCGTCCTCAGCCACACTTACTCTAAAGGAACATTACCCGTCGTAGGAGCTCCTCCCTGCTTTCAGTCCAGCCATCCCGCCTGCTTTCTCTTCCTCCAAGTGCCTCAACCTCTACACGCTCCCTCTCCTCCCTTTCACTCAGTCCATCTTGGTCTGAATGCCTTTTCACACTCCAAACCAAACATCACCAGCCACCTGCTGATAGTCACCAGCATTTACTTTTGTGAGTCACTTTTTCTCCATTCATTAAGAATATGACTTTATCCCAACGCCCTCTAAATCCCACTACCATCCTGTTACATTTTGGCTGACCGTTGCTCCAGAGGCCCTGCTGCATGTTAGGCAGCACCAACGTAACTGTCCATCCCAGACTGTTCTACCCTTTCCCAGCTGCCAAAATATCTTGCTCTCCTCTACCTCATCCCCAAAGAGCCTATAAATTCAGAGTATCCAATGTTTTCATGGATTAACTCTCTGTTGTTCAGTAATACTACTTCCATATTTTAAATAAATCACAGAAGATTTTTGCCTTCTAACAAAGTAGGAATCTTTATATTTATACAGAAATTGAACTATTTCTACCATGCAGAATTTAGCATTTAACAGGATTTTAAAGTGATTGAATTGCCATTCGAACCTGGATCTGTATTAGGTAATAAATACTGGTATTAGTCCAAGTTATTTGAATGTTAAGTTAAAATTCCCCAGCAGTCCAGATTGATCTGTAACCTTTAGTGGAACAGGAAAGTTCTGGCATACAGATGGGTGGTGTTTCAGACATTAGCTTTATTTGGTGGTATTTGGGCCTCAAAACACACTTCTAATAGAAGGATCTGTGATAAAGGGTGTTTAGGTGGTCTTATTAGATCACTGAAGTCCATGCGATTATATGTGTAAAACACCACAGAATTAGCTACATAAGAATTTGATCAAGCTTTCCTGGGTTAGACTGCCCTGTTCTCACAGAGGTGGGGGGATGATGTCCTGTGGGACAGAAAGAGAATGCGTTGAGTTTGTCGTCTTTATTCCCTGGCTATACTTAGGAACATCCAGACAGTATCAGTGAGGAGCAGGAAACGCACAGAGGAGGAAGAAGCAGGAGCTCTTCCTGCCCAGCCAGGGTGTGCTTACTCGGTGTAGTTCATAGAAGAAAACTTGTCAGGTTTCTAAAATGGGGTGTGTTTATCTACAGATGGTTGTCTGACCTGAAGGTGAACAAACCATCCTGTTTGAAAGTATTGATTACTATGATCAATGGTGGTATCTAGATGCTTTTCACTCCCATTCATGAGCAACCTGACAGCAGAGTCTAGTAGACGCCTTTAAGAGCCCAGGAATGAATCAATGCCTAGTTAAGAAATGAGACAGTAATAGAGACTGAAGGAATGGATTTTATTAAATCATGTCATGAAGCATTTGTTCTAGCTTTAAATTAATCATGGCTGCACCACCATGAAGTACAGAATTGAAAAAGGAGGGTAATGGGGAAAGGAAGAATATTTGATTCTTTGCAATGCTTGTGGAAATTTTTGAAATAATGAAATGCATACTGTAAAAGCCTTTAGAACAAACACCCCACTTTGCAGCTCATAGGAGAATAGCAAACATTAGTAAGTCTAAATATGATCAATAGAATTTTTGGTATATAAATCTGCAAAAACAGTCTTTTCTTCCACCTCTCAATCTAACCTCTTAGAAGTGAATGTATGAATCCTGGTTAGCTAGGTGTCTGCGTTATGGCACTTACCAAGCGAAATGGATCGCACATCTCTGTATTAATGTCTTCACGAATTTTTACCCAACCTCCAAATCTGATAAGGAAGGATCAAAAGGTAGGATCAAGGAAACCTATCAGTTGGGTAGCCAAGTAGTTTCCCTTGGAATGTTAAGGCTGTTTTCTCCTTTCTGAATTTTACTGGTTCTCTAAAATAAAAGGTGAGAGCTAAATGGTACCCATGTTCATCAAGGAAAGTTATCCAAACTCTGTATTTAATACAGATATTTCCTTTGCATTCATATATCTTCCCTGGAAAGAAAATACAATTTTTCCCTTCCTCTTTCTCTTCACATTTACTCTTTTCAACCTGAGATAAGATAGACGCAGAAAGCAAACCACAAGCCAGTTTGGCATCTTTGTTCTGAAAGAGTAGTGACATCCACATGCACAGTCTGAGCAAGGTGAAAAAGAATCCTGTGCGGTTGACTTGGAACATGGCCTTGCTGCTTGGATTAGCTCCTTCAAACCTGAAAATAACTTTCCTGGTCATGGAAGAACTGGATGTATCCTTTAGCTTCTGAAATAAGATTTGAACTTGAAATCTTGTTTTTAAATCCTGATTTTGCAGGGCAGCTACAT